TCTGGCGCCCACAAGGAAAAGAGTGGGAGAAACAAGTTCAGCGCATTGGATTGGCTGGTTAAGCGGCGAGTTGGGAGAAACCGCAGGTTACTGGATTCGAAGTAGTCGGTAGTTGGCGGTAAAACACAATGCAATTGGCGAAAAATTCTAAAATTTCGACAAAAATCACTAAAAACATTTGAAAAAGGGAAAAAATCGTAAAAAATGGATTACGATCGTAAAATTGTAAAGACAAACGCATTTTCGTAAAAATTACGAAAAATTCGTAAAAGTTGGCAGGTATGGTATTGTAATAGCTGTAGTTATAGTAATAGTACTATGTTGCTTATAAGTATACTGATTTTGCTTTAAGAATGTTTGTATAATTTCTTGAAATTTTGTAATTTCAATCCGGGGGAGTGTTAAATTCCTTTGTAGAGAGATGGTGCTGCCATCGTTACTGTTTACAAAAGAATGTTATTACTTTTTTGGAATTGCTTCAATGGCGAAGCAGAGTGAGTGTGGGTGCCTGGTTATCTTCCATAAACGAGTAAAATAAAGACAATGAGGTATTATAATTTAGTTTATTAATTAGTTAGTTTAATTATCCACACTGAATTAGCCGGATAAGCATTGTCATATGAAAACAGCAACATGATTATTGTAGCACCACGCTGAAGACAGGAAAAAGATCCCCAAGATGTCTTTAGACAGAGAAGGCATTTTCTGTAAAAGGGTTTAAACATTAGGTCAACAAACGATAGTTTTAAGGTTTCACTGTAACCAAGGAGTTCGGCATTTCGAACAGAGAATGCTGTAATATTTACTTCTGTAATAAGAGAATGCTGTAATAAGATGGTGTTACAGCAGCATGCTTACAGCAGCAGCATGTTATAGCAGCATGCTTGAGCTAAGAACAGCTTTGAAGCTATAAATTCAGGAAGAAAGTGATCATAACGGACGTGTTATCAGACACTTCTTCAAAGCTTTTCTCCCTCCTTATGCACATTTTGTTATTTAGATTTTGTAAGTAATAATCATATATTCGTGTTTTTTGTTTTTGCGTAAAATTTTATTTTTCTGTTCATCTGTTATACCTAGCTGATGTTATTATTCTTCATACGTTTTCCCTCCTAGCACGTGCGCCATTTCATATATTCTATTCTGCAGAAAGGAAAGTTTTAACATTGATAGCTTAGGATTTTTCCTAATTTGATTAAAAAGAATGCGACATCACATAAAAAATTTGGAAAATATACAAACATACTTCATTTTGCTTATGATATGTATTTGATTCTATATACCAGCTGACTGACTATGATTTGACTTATTTTATACCTGTTGCTGTTTATACTAATAGCTTCATTATTTTCAAGATTACTGAAAGGTTTTTCTGCAGAAATCTGACTCTACTGAAATCTAACTCAAAAATTGTTTCAATACCATCCACATCTGACATGGTCATGAATTGTTTTCTTTCTTTTTTTTTTTTTTTTTTCCTTTTTTCCTTTTTTTTTTTTTAAAGTTTTTTTCCTTGTTTAGTTTAATTATTGAATTTTTTTCCGTCATTCCTTACTTTGTGCCAAGAATCAAACAATTTTAATTAATTTCGATTTTAAATCGTCATCGAGATTTTTTTAAAATTATGCAAGTTTAGCCTAATTAATCTCAGTTTAATATTCTGACTAATTATAATTTATAAATATAATGCAGTAAGAGTTTACTTTTTAATCTAATGTTCTCGAACTTACCTTAAAAAATTCGCAGAGCTTGGATTCTCAAGGTTATCCAGAACAAAAAAGAGAAAAGAATTACAAAATTAAATGAAAATATGTTTTTATCCTATCACCTAAGTCACCTGGTGCCTCCTTCGCTAATTAATTAGTTTACTTTATGAGAAAAACTTACAGCTGGTACAGCAATATGAACTGACAACTGTGCAAAAAAACTCCTTGTTATGCAAAATGTTTTCATTTACATTTATTTCTTGAAATTATTTTCTTCTGGCTAACAAGAAAGAAGTATATGGAATACAGTTAGCGTTACCACCTCTTGGCTGTCGAAATCCGAAAGAGGTAAAAGAGTTTCCGGGAGAAGAAAAAGTCTCTTTTTTTCGTATGTTTTGAGCTGCAGCAGCAAGCACACTCTCGAAAATACTTGTACATTTTGTTCTACCACAAGAAATCGTTTTTGACAAAGTAGAATCTGGAAATAGAGCGCTATACAATTTGTTTGTGCAATTAGGGCTATTAAAACTATGCTGGTGTCTAATCTTATGATAGACTGAAGTAATTTCAATTGCTGATATATTGTTCTGTTCTTCTGAAGATTTCTTCATGAAAAAGTTCGAAATCGATTGCGATGAATCTCTATTCAATATTAACGACTGGTGTTTCTTGCTTTGAAAATGTACAGTTAAAGCTCTAACATCCTCGTACTTGATATCAAAAGTTTTTCGACAAACTTTACATTCTCCGTTAAAGCTGTCTCTCTTCATAAGCCAATCAAACTGAGTTAACCACTTGTCTTGAAACGACGTCGAATATGTCGTCTTTGTTTATGGCACTTGTTCACTTGCAGAATAAGAATCGTTTTTTTTTTTTTTTTTTTTTTTTTTTTTTTTTTTTTTTTTTACTAGATATTTTTATGAAAGCATTTAAATAATTCCAAAATATGCACTTGTTTGTGAATAGCTAGCTAATTGGACCAAGGAAGGGTTCATTTACGAGGCACTTGGGGAGATGAGGGCGCGTACGCGCGACACGCCGGCATGAAACCACTACTCATCCCGCAAGGCGCTTACTCACTACGCAACGTAGATCGCTGCTGTAAAGAATATGTATTGACATAGACGTTCTTTGGCTGCTGTGCGCGTTCGTATGATTTTCGATGTTCTCAACCACTTCGACCGTGCGCATTGCGTCGTTATTTTCGAGAAACTTGATATTCCGGGAGAGTAATATTTATTTTAAATTTTTTCCGGGAGCCGGGAGATTTTAATTTTCAGGGCTCAGTTCCGGGAGGATCCCAGAATTCTGGGAGAGGTGGGAAATGTAATAAAATATGAGTGTAAAGGTAAATAAAATAAAGACTTCAAATGAAAAAACGAACTTAATTTGTGATTCTAATTACAAAAATAGCACTTCTGGCAGCTTATTGTTTAAATATTTCTAGGAATGTAAAAATAATTTATAATAAGAGGTTTCATAGATTTAAGTGATTAATTAAACCTCTGCTGGAATATAGTAATATAAGAAAGCGCGTTGTTTATCAACATTTATAAATATAATACATCAGATTTACAATAGTTACCCGAAAACAACAGTCACTAGAATTGTCCAGTGCTAGAAAACTTTGAAAAACAATTTTTCCTTAACAAATTAGACGATATTTAGTGCACAGAAAATTATTATAATTATTATTTATCACAGTCGAAATTCAGATCGGCTTTATAACGAATTCTTGACTGCAATGGGGGAACCTTTTAGTATATGCAATTTCCTATACATTTAATGTTATTTTATACAACTACAGCTAACCTTCAAACATAAGAAAATTCTATATAATAAATATTACGTATTTAGTTGACTGAAAAGGCCCGGTGGCGCAGTGGCTAGCGCATCGCGCAGCAGCATTACGGGTTCGAGGTTCGATCCGCGGGCTGGGCAAGGTCGACTCAGCCTTTCATCCCTTGATTTCCATCACATCACTTGAGTCGATAAAATGAGTACCGAGTTCGCTTGGGGACTAAACACGGGGGGGGGGTAATGCGACAAGCTGACCCCTTGTTTAGGGTATATGTTCACGCACCTCGAGCCCCACGGTCAAGAAAGCAGATTTCGGGCTCTGCAGGCCTTGGCCTGCTAGGGCTGTTACGGCACTGAGTTTAGTTTAGTTGACTGAAACTTAATATAAAATGTTTTTTTTCATATATTTTTTCAGGATTTGGGCAAATTTTATTGAATATTTGTTAACCCTTAAAATCATCCATGCTTTTAAATTAACAACATAGCGAAAACACCTTTCCATTACTGTTTATTTTATCTTCACCCCCATTTTTCTGCTTTCTAAATAAAGAGTACGCAAGGCACTTGTAATACCAAAATTTAGAAAGCAAGTACACACAATATGCATATCCGAGAAGATCAAACTCTGCCATGTAGTGACCATTAAGACAAAGAACTTCAATATGTTCTCTAGTTACATTTAAATTCTTTGAATGGACTATAAGACGCAATATTATTCACGGTTGGTGTTTATGATAGGAAATTTGAAATTTTAGCCATTTATGTAACATCGGAGGCGTGAATAGATTCTTACAGACGTGGAGCTATACAGGTCGTCTTTTAGGGTAACGAAAATGTTTTATATATTGGTTTATTTATTTACAGTATTTAAACAATGCCAAAGTTCTGTTATCTAAATGGGGAAAGGTATTAAGTCATTTGACTTTCAATTTGAACTGAGATACTTTGCACATTTTGAGGGAGATTGTATTTCGAAGGAACAGTCTAAATAGTGAATTTTGTGTTAAATAATTTATCGTGTAAAATTATTAACGTAAGGAAGGAAAAACAAGTTTAATAACTTCAATTAATAATAATTGCAATTACTTCTTAATATGATTAAAAAATTAGATTTATTATTCACTTTGTTTGGTCGCTGTGACAATGTAACGATTTCTTTTTAATGTGCATGTGTTGTATGATTTATCAGTCAATTTTTGTAATTTTTTTTAGATATTCCCTTTTTCTTATTGGATCGGATATAGCAAACCAGCAGATTTAGATAACCGAACTTTCGGTACAAAACTTCGGTCATAGTGAGATTTGTTTTCAGAATACTAAAAACGAAATTTAATTACTAAGTAATTTTAACATATTTTTTAAACAATTTAAGAAATATACTATAAGAAAAGTTCCATTATACATTTAATTTTAAGCCTGTTTAGTGCATACATAAAGTATAATTTCTTATAAGTATTCGTTTATAAACATATTGACTGAATAAAATTTACTTACTTAAAAAAGGAGGTGTCAAATTTAGAATAACATCAATTAAAACATAAGCAACGTCTGAACATCTCTGCCCATCCTTAAAAAAAAAAAAAAAAAAAAAAAAAAAAAAAAAAAAAAAGATTGGATTAGCATTTATTTCTGCTTTAGGTACCACAGTGTTCTAGTAATGCAACAAAACGGAAACTTACCCAAAACAACCAAAGAACCGCAATGAGGAAGATAAAGCTGTAACACACCATATATCGAAAAGTGTCGAAAACGGATACTAAAGCTGCACGTCCTTCCCTAAACCAAAAAGATTAAATTCATTATCTAAGCACATAAACAACACAATAATGAATAAACCCTTTACAGCGCTAAAGACATTTTCGTTAAGATATTTACTTGTTAAACATAGAAAATGCCGTGGTTCGCAAAACAAATATTTATTACTGAGATATGCAGAGATACACGCAGAGTTACATGCAAAGAAATACAAGCAAGGATAAGTACAAGCAGAGATAATATATATATATATATATATAAGATTATATGCTTTGTTATAGTTTCAAAGCGCGAAGCGCTCTTTTGCTATGTTTCATATGCAGGCATATCAGGAACTAGAGCTCGTTGGTGAGCTGTTCGAGACTGGTGATTGAGTTTTGAATTGAGGTAGGTCGTTCTTCAATCGGCGAGGCGGTGGTGGCAAGGCCACACTAGTTTAGCAGCGAAGAGTGCCAGTGTAATAGTGGCATCTTTGTGTATGTCATATGTAAAAATATTATAAAGTAGGGGGGAAAGAACTGTACCCTGGGGCACTCCAGCTGTGATGGGTCGCGTGGAGGAGTGCGTATTGCGAATTTTGATAGTAAATGTGCGATTTCTAAGATAGGAAGCTATTAGTCGAATAAGATGATCGGGAAAGTCCAATTTGATAAGTTTGTAAATGAGACCTTTGTGCCATACTATCTGTTGTGCCATACAAGGCTTTTGACACTACTAAGAAAATTGCTCCAGTGGGAATTTTGGCATTGAAACCATCTGTGATATAATTGATGACTCTTAGAAGTTGATGCGTAGTACTGTGTGAGTGACGAAAACCAAACTGTTCTGAGGGTGTATAATGGCTGACTGGAATGTTTTTGTGAATATAATACAAAATAATTTTTTTCGTGATTTTGGATAGACTGCTTAGCAGGCTTATTGGCCTGTAGTTCTATGCAAATATATTATTTTGCTTGGGTTTTGGGAAAACTGAGATAGAATCTTTTTTCCAAGCTGGTGGGAAATACGAGTATTTAATAATGGCATTGATAAGTTTAGTAAGATAAGTAATCCCATTTATGGGGAGATTTTTTTAATGCTTTGTTTGGTATGCTCTCTTGGCCAGAACCCTTTTTATTTTTAAGCGCACTGATAAATTGAACAACAAATGTTGGTGTGGCAAGAAAGGTGAAATTAAGTGGAGCCGGAATGCCAACAGAGTTATCAACCACGTGTGCAATATGATCATTGTCATAAGGGGCTGGATTTAAAGTTAATGAGTTTTGAATGACATCTGCAATTGTCTTGGTCAGAGTTAGCCATTGCCGATGGTCCATGTAAGGCGGGGATTTGCTTATAGGGGTTTTTGAGTTTACGAGAGATGTCGTACAGTGAGTTATCTTCAGTGGCTAATGTATTTATAAAATTTGTGCATTTGCTTTATTTCTATACTCCTTGATTGCTCTTTTTATGCTATTTTGAAGTGAGTTGAGTCTGCGTTTGGCCTGAGGGTCTCGGGTGTTTTGCCAATGTTTGCGTACTCTGTTTTTATGATTATCTGCTCCCTTATGTTACGTGGAAGGGGTTGGAAACGCCTATTGACATAGAATTTATTTGTAGCATCATTAATAGCTGCTTTAATCTGATTAGTGAATCGTTCTACTTCCTTATCGATATCCTCTTTATTATTAATGAGAAGGTTGCCTGAGACTGTGCTGGAGATAATATTAGTAAATTTGGACCAGTTTGTAACTCCAACTGTGCGTAGTAGTGAAATATTTGTAAATACTTTCATTAGTACGAGATTATGATCTGAAGAGAGTGCTGGGATAGAGGTAATTTCGTACTGGTATGGAAAATCCCTTGCTACAAAGAAGTCAATGATAGTCGATCTGTTTAGAGAGAAATGCGTGGGTTCTTCTGGTGCTAGCAGTGTGTAACGATTTTGATTAATAAGATCAAAGAGTAAATTGCCATTCCTGTTTGCTCGACCAGGATTCCAGCTAGGGTGCTTTGCATTATAATCACCTCCTACTATAGATTTGGGGTGTGAAGTGAGCAAATTATTGAGCTCTGTGATGTTTAGATGATTTGTGGGTGGTATGTAAATATTGGTTATTGAAATTAAGGTATTGCCTAGTGTGATAATGATATTGACGTTTTCAAATCTGTTTGTGAGTACTGGTTTGTTGAAGTGTGTTTACTGCTTTTAACATACGTGTCCCCACCGCCTCGTCCTGAGAGTCTATAACATCTGTAGGCAAAGTAATTTGGATAGAGCACCGTTCTGGCTGGCTTGAGGTGAGTCTCTTGCACTAATATTACATCCGGTTCGAGTTCTAATATAAAATCGCTTAGTTTATCTTTTTTGGGAAAAAGTCCATTGGCATTCCAAGTGAAGAAGGCTGTAGAATCTGCTATTATTTGCAGAAGGAGAGTTAAATGTAACTAGTGATTTTTTCAATAATGTCCACAATTATTTCTATTTTGTCCAATATTGAAGATTTTTGTTTAATTGTTCTTATTCCATTTTTAACGGCATTCCATATGACGTTTAGGGACTTCAGGATTCCATATGACTTTTAGGGACTTCCAGAAATTAGCAATGGACTGAAGGGATCATCAGAGTTTTGCACTAACTCTGAGGTTTCTGTCTGGGCGGCAGCAGCTGGTTCTGTGAGTGGCGGGAAATTTTATGTATTGTTTTTCCAGGGGTTATTGGCTGGCAGCTGAATTGGGATGAATTTGTCGGTTTTCCTTTTTATTTTAGGTATGGCCGAGCAACCGGAAAAGGAAGCAGGATGCAGCTCCCCGCAGTGACAGCAGCTAGCTGTGTCTTCTGGTTTCAACTGACATTCACCGGCGTCGAACGAAGGTTAGTTATGTAGGTAACTCCATACCCTTGGTTTCTTAATTCTTGCAATATGTACTGATGGTTCATAGTTATAGGCAGTCCTCGTATGACAATTTTTAATACCTTTTCATCCTGAAGTTGATATGTATGAGATTTTAAATTTTTTTCTTAATAACTTCTCTCACATATCTGGGAGCCTCTGCATCAGGGAGTGTCACATGCAATTTGGTGCCTTTTAATTGGCCTGTAATTGTTTTCCCCGTCTTAACACTGAGATAGGCCAGGAATTTATCAGCTTGCGGGACATCGTCTATGATAATTGGCGGTACTCTGATTTTTCTACTGTTCGAGTAGAACAATAGAAAAATTCAAATATCATTCTGACAGATTTTTCATCTAGTTTCTTTCTTTGCGATGGTGGCACTAGAGTATAAGCATCACAGCCAAATACACGCATGTTTATTAAATCAGGATTTTTGCCATACTTCAGAAAATAAGGAACACGATTGTCAATCGAACTATTTGGGAGTCGATTATTTATATAAGCAGCCGTAAGTACTGCTTCACCCCAAAGGAATTTTGGTAATTTTGCCTCAAGTATCATTGCTGTAGCGTTTTCCAGTACAGTTCTATTTGCTAATTCAGCAACACCATTTAGAAAAGGTTTATAGAGAGGTAAAAGATCTATTTTTACACCTGCTCTTTTAGCAATTTCATGCAATTCTCCACTGACATATTCTTTGGCATTGTCACAGCGCAGTTTTATAACAGTTGGATTCAATTTAAAGAATAGCTTGAGTTCATCAACAACATCCCTTTTTCTTTTGAGCAGTCTGATTTCCATAAATCGCGAGTAGTCATCAATTATAGTCATGAAATACTTTTTTCCATGGAGTGTTCGAAGTTCTATTGGACCACATATATCAGTGTGTATAGTTATAAATGGTTTGGATTCTTTTATGCGAGGACCCTTTCCTATAGGCAAAGCACTTTGTTTGGCACGAACACATACATCATAAAAGGATTCTTTTGCAGGAAGATTCATTAGTTTTAATTTTTGATCAAAGCAGTGTCCTAATCTTCTGTGCCATAAATTATCATTCTTTACTGCTAAAGCTGTAAATAGGTTTGGTGAAAAATCACTAAAATATTGTCCGCATTTGTCCAAATATCCAAATCTGAAACTTCTTTTTTTTCAATATACACTATTTCATTTTTAAAAATTACGCTCAAACATGATGCTTCAATATTTTTAACAGAAATTAATTGCCCGTTTAATTTTGGAACGTAAAGAACATCTTTTAACATTATTTCAACACCATTCTTATTTTTACCCCAAATATCACCAATTCTTCTTCCACTTCTAAAACCGCCGACTTAGACGCGCACTTAACAGTTCCAGTCTTAGGCTTAATTGAGGTAAACAATTCCTTGTCAGAAGACATATGAGAAGTTGCACCAGAATCAATAATAAATTGATCATGCACAAGATTTCCAGCCATAAAAGTTATTGCAGGGGATGCATACTTATTACTATTTGAATTTGCCTGCTTTTTAGAATTATCAAAACATTCACTTTTGAAATGACCAGTTTTCCCACAGTTATGACAGACGCAGTTCTTTTTCCTACAAAATTTAACAGAATGTCCTTTTCTTTTACAATAAGTACAAAAGAATTCATTACGATCACTAATAAGCACAGAGTTATCTGTATTTGGTTAAGAACACTTATTTTCATTTTTATAATCAAACATAAGAGATTCACAATCAATAAGTCTACTTGTAACAAAATCTAAACTCAAATTATCACTTGGTTTATTTTCTAGAGATGGCTTAATATATTCATATTCCTTTGGCAAAGACATTAAAATGTAAATAATAATATCAAAGTCGCTTACTTCAGAGTCAGAGACGCGTAGACTACTCACCAGGTTCATTATGCTGTCGATATGCTGTCTCATTGACACATCCTTGGATTTCCTTATGGTAGCTAGACGTTTACGCGTTAAAATTTGACTCACTGCACCTTTATCGCTATACGTAGCTTGTAGTTTCTTCCATATTTTACATGCAGTGTCTTCACGTTGAAGAGAAGCAATAACATTGTCACTTAGAAGGGCAAGTATTAAGGCATAAGCCTTTTTTGATTTCAAAACATTTGCAACTCTGTCAGCAACTGCTTCTGTTT